AACGCAAATAGTCGGTAGAGCGCTCGCTCCGTGATCGGAAGGTCGTGTGTTCGAATCACGGCCGCGACTGATCTAAGTCAATAAAAAATAGGTGGCAACTGTTCCTCGCCAAGCGCTCAGCAGTTTAAAGTGAAAGTTGCAGGTCCTTCGGATGAGATCTTAAAATAAATCGAGACCCCATGTCACGGTAGGCGTTGGCACGATAATGAATCCTCACTGCTCAATGGCCCTGAGTGCCGAGTAAAGATCTAAATTTGAAGCCCTTCACCGGTAAATGGTGGCGTCTCTATATGAGTAAAAATTCTCTAACAGGACGTTAAACTACAATCAAACAATGTTAACATTGACCGACTCCATGGTGTATCAATGCAGGAATTGGCGGCAATGGCCGACTCCAGTCTTTCAATGCAGGGACAACTACAGTCTCTTTATCTTACATGTAAGTATTTACAGACTCCATCCTTGAAACAAGGATTAAGTCTGATGGGAAATCTAGAAGAAACCATACAGTTTTTTAATGCAACTTGCTCACTTAAATTACATGAACGGTTTTTATCGAAATTCCTTTATTTTGTAATATTTACATTTTATGAACGATGGGTTAATAAAAGTTTATACACTGTATATGGATAGCTCGACCCATAATTAATTTAAACTCGAAACAGTACCACGTTTTGGTCTCCGAATTTCATATCATAACCAGCCATTTATAGTATCACACTGACCTGTTCATACGACCTTTTTTTGACATGTCCATGGTAATACTCGAGGGAAGGCAATTATAGAGATTTCTAGCTCAGCGTTGAAGCTAAAGCAAACTGCTTGGGTAATTAAATGCTTATATAATTATTTTCCGCACTTCTCTGTGCTGTAATAAACGGCTAGTGCACACGCTCTCTGAAGTGCGTATTTTTGATTTATGGCATGTGAAATAAAAAAAAAATTACAAAGTAGTTTTATTAGCCGATTTCATTGAGAGAATAAACAAGGTTCTTGTTTCTCCGAAAGCAGATCTATTTTCTGAAGCGAAGCCGCTTTTTTATTCATTCTAATATTTAAGCATTATTTCCATATTTCTTCTTCTTATTTATTCAATGTCTGCACCTTATAACTTATCTACATGATACATATTTGTTATATTGAGTGAATCAGAATCTGATTACAGTAACTAGGGGTACCACTCGTACGTGTTCGTCTTGCGTTTTGTGTCGATAGTTAAGTTTTGAACATTTAAGCCTCTTCTCTTAACTGGCTGAACAATTTTAACAAGAAGTGTTTGTGAAACACTGATGCTTCCGTATGGCAGCTAATGGCGAAGGTAAAAGTTTCTCAAATGCAAGTCAAAATCAAGGCCAAAAGATAAAAAAATGTTGGCACCTAAAGAAAGGTCTTGTCTCGAGGAATATACCTGTGAAATTTGAAAGCCCGAGCTGCAACTGTTCAAAAGTTATGGCGAAGGTTAAAGTTTTTCAAAAGTAAGTAAAACGTCAAGGTCAAGGTCAAAGTGGTTGGTATCCAAAGGAAGGTATTGTCACAAGGATTACATATGTAAAGTATGAAAGCCCTATCACCAAATACTCAAAAGTTATGGCGAAGGTTAAAGTTTTTCAAAAGTAAGTAAAACGTCAAGGTCAAGGTCAAAGTGGTTGGTATCCAAAGGAAGGTATTGTCACAAGGATTACATATGTAAAGTATGAAAGCCCTATCACCAAATACTCAAAAGTTATGGCCAAGGTTAAAGTTTTACAAAAGTAGGCCAAACTCCTATGTCAAGGTCAAAGTGGTTGGTATCCAAAGGAAGGTGTTGTCACAAGGATTACATATGTGAAGTACGAAGGCCCTAGCATTAACCATTCAAAAGTTATTACCAAAGTTAAAGTTTTTCAAACGTAGGTCAAAATCCTAGGTCAAGGTCAAAAGGTCAAAGTGGTTGGTATCCAATAAAGGTCTTGTCACAAGGATTACATATGTGAAGTACGAAAGCCCTAGCTCCAACCATTCAAAAGTTATGGCCAAGGTTAAAGTTTTTCAAAAGTAGGTCAAACTCCTAGGTCAAAGGGTCAAAGAGGTTGGTTTCCAAAGGAAGGCCTTGTCACAAAGAATACACATGTGAAGTTTGAAACCCCAAGCACCAATTGTTCAGAAGTTATGGCCAAGGTTAAAGTCTCATAAAATTTTGCAAAAGTGGGTCAAACCCCAAAGTCAAGGTCAAATATGATGGTACCCAAAGAAAGGTCTTGTCACAAGGAATACACATGTGAAATATAAGTCATAGCTCCAACCAATTAAAAGTTATGGGCAAGGTAAAAGTTGACAACAGACAGGACAAAAACAATATACCTTCGGGATCTTTCGAACCGGGGACATAAAACATCAAGGTCAAAGTTGTTGGTATCCAAAGGAAGGTCTTATCAGAAGGATTTAATATTTTAAGTATGAAAGCCCTAGCACCAACCATTCAAAAGTTATGACCAAGGTTAAAGTTTTTTCGAAAGAAGGTCAAACTCCTATGTCAAGGTCAAAGGGTCAAAGTGGTTGGTATCCAAAGGAAGGTGATGCCACAAGGATTACATATGTGAAGTATGAATGCCCTAGCATCAACCATTCAAAAGTTATGGCCACGGTTAAAGTTTTTCAAAAGTAGGTCAAACTCCTAGGTCGACGTCAAAAAGTCAAAGTGGTTGGTCTCCTAAAAAAGGTCTTGTCACAAGGATTACATATGTGAAGTATGAAAGCCCTAGCTCCAACCATTCAAAAGTTATGCAAAGATTAAAGTTTTTCAAAGTAGGTCAAGGTCAAAGGTCAAAGAAGTTGATATCCACAGGAAGGTCTTGTCACAAAGAATACACAAGTGAAGTTTGAAACCCCAAGCACCAACTGTTCAGAAGTTATGGCCAAGGTTAAAGTCTCATAAAATTTTGCAAAAGTGGGTCAAACTCCAAGGTCAAGGTCAAAATATGATGGTACCCAAAGAAAGGTCTTGTCACAAGGAATACACATGTGAAATATAAGTCATAGCTCCAACCAATCAAAAGTTATGGGCAAGGTTTAAGTTGACAACAGACAGACAGACAAACAGACAGACAGGACAAAAACAATATACCCCCGGGATCTTTCGATCCAGGGCATAACAATTTAGTACATACTTGTAGCTTATATAGAACTTGATTTCGTAGTTGAAGAAGTGTAGAGTTGTTGTATAAAGGAAATTTCACATTTCATGGAGGACATGAACTCGTGGGTTTCTTCATACCATGAAAACAACGAAAATCTAACCCCTACATTTATTAGTGTTTTAACAGTATACAATTTCGCAGAAATCTTTTCATGTTTTATTAATTAAGGAAAGTGCTGATTTTAAAGAAGTAAGTTATAGTACATGTATGTTTCCACGAAAGACAACCCTCGTACAGTGCAAGTTATCTATGGAGAATGTTATGTTAAAATACAGGCACAAACACGTACACAGAGGCATATGATGAGCAGAAACCTTATCCAAGGTCTTGAGGGTGTCCCGACAAGGACGTTAAAGCAGCTAATAATTAGAACCGGAAAGTATATTTACTGTCATATATTAATCAGATATTAAATTAATCGCGAACAGTTCTGAATGACAGAAACTTGTAAGAAGAGAAGAATACGAAGAACGCATTGCAATATCGAATTAATAATTTTTGATATTAATCAGTAAATGAGTTGCATCAACAATATTATTACTCATCATTCAAGTATAAGCTCGCTTGTTGTGAACTTTATGTCATCCGACAACAAATTCACAACAAACGAGTTTATTGGTCTGTAGAGATGACTATAAAGGGTTAGGAGGTGGATGAAATATATGGAGATAACGAACAGTATTCAAGCTCAAAATTCTATTAAACATTACAAAATAGGATCAGAGCAAACACGGACCACCAAAACATCAGAGGTGGGATCAGGTGCCAAGGAGGAGTGAGTATCCTCTGCCGACCGGTCCCCTCCGCCGCGTGCTCCTTGTCATGATCGGGAAATAAATCCTTAGAAAGCGAACTATGACTATAAGTTGGATTACCAATTGTAGAGTTAAATCCAAGTTCCTCTTAAATACATTTAAAATAATGAGCCTTACAAACAAAGACAATGTTGTTACCTGCTTTGTCAGCAGGGACCAGTACGTACTGATCATGTAATCTATCTAATTCTTTTTTCACTTCTGGATTATTGAATACAGAAGGATAGATGGTTAGGGGTTCACTACATTTAGGACCTTTGAAAATTAGTGATCTAAGGTCCTCATTATTAACTATTATATTTACGTCACCAGTCACTTGTCCAGCAGGACTATAGTTATAGGTTGAAGAAGAACATGAACACGTTGGAGGATTATGTTTCAGCTATTCGATATCCAGGCCCTGTAAAGTTTTCTTGTAGTTAAAAAGTTTGGAAGCAATAGTCGATGTATATTTGTAGGAAATACAAGGTGTAGTCTTTAACTTGAAATATGGTTGAATACAAGACTGGACCCTTTTGTGATTAAGAATATTACTTATATTAACCGCGTCATTATGCGTACTTACAACTGACTCATATAAAATATACAGGTTGATTATAGAATATGTCTGGAATTAAGAAATGAAATAAAGGTTGTTGATTGACGAATGCTGGAAAGTGGCGAATACATCCCCAAAGTGCGCAGAAAATCTTGCGCCTTAAATTGCACAATATTTGCATTATGGGATCTATAGCGTTATGGTCAAATATACTAAAATATAAAACCATAACGCTACAGTTCTGCAGCTACCTATGAACCACTAGTTACTTTTTTACCGAATTTCTTTGAGAGCGTAATCTACAATCATTATGCGTACTTACAACTGACTCATTTTTTTCTTATTGTCAGCAATACCCAAAAATCCAAACTATTCCTAATAATTTCTTGATTGTAACATTATTATGATTATAACATATTACGTTATAACAGCGTTATGTATTATATAGATGGTTTCATTAGAACAACTATAATAAGTCAACCCACATTTATTTAGAAAACAATATATAATAATAATAATCTAACAGGAAGTGGCTTTCAACATCCAATTTTCAGAATCTGTAAAAATAAAAAATAAAATCAATTCTTCTTATTCTCAAGCAATAGAAATATTTTTGGCAAAGTTTAAATTTCTGATTGGTTGCTAATGAAAGGAGAAAAGTATTACAATTATGATACTACTTTAAAATAAATAATTATAAATATCCTAAAAGGTACATTTTGTTGGCTTTCAGTGAGAGGGACATTCTCCATCGGATACCACTTCAACTTTGCTGTAAAAGAGAAGGAAAAAAGTTGAATTGTACAGCACAAACTTAATGAACTGGTATAACTTTTTTGAAATCGTGGTAGTAATATACAATCATGTATGTTAAGTGTTCTAATTTCTAATTTCCAGAAAGTAATTAACTTAAAACGTTGGATTATTTTTGAATTGATTATAAACCCCTACGTACAGATTATCGAGAGGTATTTGTTTGGAAAATGAGAAGATTATAGACGTAACTTAGACGCAGCATGTAGTGTAAGGTGTACGTCATTAAGCGTGTTAATGAGAAAATATGATATGTGCCCAATGGATAAGTTTGACTATAATGGCCACAGATCTATAGTGTCTCATTAAGATAACATGATTTGACGGACAAAATTAATGCGTATTGATAAAAACACATATATCGGTCCGCAATGACTTCCACTATAACTCTCAATCATATCAGCTTTACAACTTCGTATTCGTTTTATTTATCTGTTATGTCTTTTTAAGTCATCTGAGTTTACTTAGGTGAACCTAGTGCTATCTGTTTTTGTCCGTCGTTCGTTAACATTTAAACATTTTCAACTTCTTTTCTGGAACCACTGAACGAGTTTCAACCAATTTTGGCATATAGCATCTATGAGTGAGGGGAAGTATTCTGAAGAAAAAGTTCTAAAATTCATGGCCCCTGCCCCTAAGGGGTGGGGTTAAAACCATCAAAATTAATACAATCTTTAAAAATCTTGATTGTAATAAGCATTGAGCCCTCTACCAAAATCGTGAAATTCATGTCCCAAGAGTGAGGGGTTCTGGTGCTTGGGCGGGGCTAACTCTGTTGAATATGGTGAAAATGCATTATTTCTTAAAAATTTTCTCCTCTGCTCCTGGGTATTAAGCATACAAACTAAATGTCTAATTATGATGATGAAGGATGTCTCTTCCAAAATTGTAAATTTGGGGTTCTAATGATTATATACTGAAAATGAATTAATGCTTTGGACGTCTGCTGCTTGGTATAAAGCAAACTGAATGCATTAGTTATGATGAGCAAGGGCGCCTTGCTCTTTTATATAGTGTAATGTGGAAGATTAATTTTAGATCTGGAGATTACTATGGCTGTAAAATTGGAAATTTTTCGTAGTGAATTTATGCAGATTCAGAAACGTCGAGAAGACCCTTTAACAAGTGTGATATTGGTAATAACCTCATGAACTGTTTAACTACATTACATCTTCATAAAAATATCTCTGAAATAGAAAATCAATGATATTTTTCTCAAACAACAAATATACAGGGTTAGTATATTAAAATCATTGAAAACTTTTAACCTTTTTTCACTGTTTTCATAAAAAAATAAGGTCAAGAGTTTCCACAATATATACAATACCCTGCAAGAAATGTTTTTCGTTAAATAAGCTCAGCGCTAGAGGAAAGGGTTAGATACAAAATCAAAGTATATCATTTGCTTACTTTCAAAAAGCAAGATCACATTGAATCCAAAATTGATAGTTGTTAAGTTGAACACTTACAAACAGTCGGCAACACATTGGGTTCCATACGTTTTGCCGTCTTCTCCACAGACTGGTTTATACTGATAAGGACAGTTACATGAGTCTGGACACCTTCCTTTAGATTCAATTTTAACACCGCTGTAAAGAGATAAAATACAGTAAAAAAAACTAGGCTTTAGAAATATATTCTTGAATACATACATTTTATCAGTATGTGTAATGGAATCTTGGGGGAATTTATTGCCATGTTAAGTTACTCATTTAATTCTGCAGTGTTATTACATGTATAAAAAATAAATCCAATGCTATATCTTGTAAATACTTTAATATATCTTTAGACCATTTAGTTATAATATGCAAAAATACTTTGGAAAGTACAACTGTAGAATAAATAAAGTACATACGCGCACTTGGCATTGCAGGGATTGTCATAAGTCTCGCCATCTGAGCCACATACGGGGTCGTAGTTGTGTGGGCAGGTGCAGGACTTTCTACAAACCCCCGTGTACTTTTTTTGTACTTTCCTGAATCAAAAAATTAATAATGATATAACATATACATGTATATAAATGTACTACAATTGTAGTCTTCATTGTTTATTTTTTTTAAACATTTCTGTAACACGCGATGATACAGTATATTATAACTTGAACCATATATGGTTTTGCTTTATTCGATTTACAATTTAAAGCTGCGTGCGATACATAAAGAATATTTTTTCTAGATACAAAAATCAGCTTATTTTGAAAAGGTTTGTATGTTAAAATTTAATTGTAAATAATTGCAGATTTTATATTGAAGGAATCATGCCTATTTGTTTAATTCATAATTATGACAAATTAAAACTCTTGGTCCTGTTTTAACTTTATTATCTCATATGTTGCAAGTTTTGAAGTCCAAATGTCAATTGCAAAGATTTCTCAATTTTTTACCTAGTGTTAAATTTAAATAAAAAAATGAATAACGAGGCAGTGCATCCAATCTCAATTTCAATTTAATAAATTTCTATGTTCCATACTGCAATTTTCATTCGAAACGGTTCTTTGATTATGACCTGGATTGTTTTTCACTTTTCATTTGATCAAGGGCAAAACTTTTAATGCTCAGGATCTCCATTCAGTCTCTCCATGTATGTTTAGATAAAAGTCCAATGTTTCCGAGTGTTTTCAAGTCAAAGTCTGAAATTTTTTAAAATTTTACTTGGTTCCAAAGTAGTCAAAGTTGTGTACACATTTTATTTAAATTTTATCTTAATTTAAAAAAAAATGGGTCAAGTTAAAAAATAAAATGGTGTTGTGCATCACATCCTCATCACATCTTTCCATTTCAAAGTTTGTAATCTTGATATTTAATAATTTTCAAGTTATGGTCTGAACATTATTTAAAGGAAGGAGAAACTTAAAGATGAAAACAGACAAAAACAATATGTCCCCTTGGAAGAGGAAATTTAATCAATTTGTAGCTTCCTGTATTAGAGGAAGTTCTGGGAGGGTAAAAAAATTGGCTTTCTTGCGTATTCAGAGTATACCCCCGTACATTCACTTTACAAATATAAACGATGGGAGGTGTCTGTATTTTTTAAGAACTTTAATAAGTGTATAAGAATGTAAAGGTTTCATAAGCAATACAATATCTATAAGAAAAAAAACTGAATATTCTTTAACAGGACATATAGAAAAAGAAATTTTATATAGATCGATTACAGAGGTTTTGCCATAATTATATAAGACAAATTGCAACATTATGTTTTAATGAATGCAAGTTTAAGGTTAAAGTTAATGTCCTTTCGATGAAAAAAGAAATGACATAGATTCTTACAGGAATAAACCTTTGATATGAATATACTCACGCACAGTCAGCTTCACACTGATTGATATAGGTCTTGTTATCTGAGCCACAGATAGGAGAATAATAAGCCGAGCAAGTGCATTGGGCCCGACAAGGACCTTGGTATGAAACTTCCACACCACTAAAATCATAAAAGTAAAAAAAAAATTGTGTATGTCTGACAAGAGCTACGCGACGTTAATGCAAATCCCTCAGGGAAAATTTTCGAGGAAAAATTCTGTTTTTTTTTTTTTTTTTGTTTTGTTTGTTTTTTTTTTTTGTTTTTTGAAATGCTCGAGAATTTGTTTGTGAATGTGTACCATTGAATAAGATGACTTACTATTCACATTCAGCACTGCATCTGCTGGAATACGTTTTCCCGTCTTTTGCACAAACAGGGGCATATGTCGAGATACATCGACATATTTTAACCTTACATTTACCAGTGTGTAAAACTGAAACACCTCTATAAAGAGATGTAATGTTCATTAATAAATCAGAAGCAACAACAGATAGATGTTTACACTAGATTTTCTAAGGAGGCTAAAGCAATGAGGTATTTAAAAAAAAGATAGCGAGATGTATTATTCATTAGCCAATTTTCAAATGGAAAGTATCGAAACGCCTAGTGTTCCTATTGGTAGATTGTTTTAATTAGATTTTTAGAAAGGTAGACGCCTTCATCTGATATAGTGTAAGCAATATGAAAAAGAGTAACTTTTAATTTTCATTTCGTTAAGGAAGGGTATTTCTAATTGATAGTTTGATTTAAGTACATGTAGATAAATCATCAAATAGAAGTAATTAAAATAGAAGACCCGAGAAAAGAGAAAAATTTTAAGAGCCCACACTTACACACATCTCGCCTGACATTCATTGTCATAGTTTCTGCCGTTCTTTCCACATACGGGTTCGTAAGTCTCGGAACAATAGCAGCGTCTCGTAACTTGATGCCATGTACCTTGTGAACATGGGCCATCATGAATCTTATATACAAATCTATAAAGATAAATCTAGTCATTAATTTTTAATAGGATTTTAATATATGTACACATTTTAATGTACATTGTACAAGTTGATGATAGAATGCAGTAATTATTATTTTTTCAATAATCTTCAAAGTAACATTCTTTTTTTTTTTTTGTTAAACAGTTAATTAAGAAAATTAAACCATAACAAATTTAATTGATACCAGCTTGCTTCTACCTGTGTAAGTAATGATATGCACGTGCCAGAGAAGAGTAAAGTTAAGGATCTAAAACAGTATCAAACATTCTCTGACGACAGGTACCAATTTTGGTAATTGTGACTTTTTTCTTAAACAAAAATCGTTCTTTCTTTAATACATCCTAAAGTTTATTACCGATGACGCTGTTTTATATAATCCTTTATACAGATCTTCGAGAAGTTTTCATATCTATTTTTGAATTCAGAATTTTTTTTACCTATCATGATCTATAGTTGATTCGTATTCTAAAGGCACGTGAATCTACAAGCAGTTTGATTTAGAGAGCTGCTAAGTTTAACAGTAAATTGATGGATCGGCGTTCATTTCAGCACTTAAAAGTCAACCAATGTCACGATTATTTGTAACTTGAATCGAAAATATCAAACGAAGTTTTGTCCGTAATACATTGTTGTGGTGATTTACATTTTTTTTTTTCAAACGAAATTTGCTTAACATTAGATATAAAGAGTGCATTTATGTACTGAAATGGTTTAATAAATTAAAAAAAATTGTAAATGAATAATTAAAACAATTTTTTTTATTAATAAGTTGTCATGAATTATTAATTTTTAATTTTTACTAGTATGGAATGACAGTGTTATAAGCAAATAGAGAGATACTAAATTGTTCTACAATAAAATAAAAGAATGGATAAATCTTGTTATTAAAACAATGATATTTTTCCTCTTCATGCAAATCCAGTATAAAATTTTTATAGATTTTAAATTGAAGGGGGAAATCTATCTAATAAGATGTTATATCTCCTAAGAAATTCAAGTCGGAATTGAAAATGAATACATGTATTAAGTATACGATAGAGTTTTAGAAAACTTCAAGGAGAGATATGAAATTATATTTGTATGTATTATAAAATATCACCGAAATTATTTTGATAAACATAATATTTTTTTCTTTATTTATTATTCAAAACCCATTATGTATATGTAGTTTTAATCATACATTTTTTTGTCCTCAATTTTCTCAATTGACTTGTATTTAATTTTTTTTCACACCAATGTTATACATAATTAATTTTTAATCAAAAAACTTTTTTAAAGATTTATTTTTTTATTTAGTCATAATAATAAGATATTTTACTTACGGTTTACAGCTTATTTCACACGGATTTTTGTATGTGTTGCCGTCATTTCCACACACTGGCTCAGAGGTACCGGGGCATTTACAGAGAGTGCTAGGGGGTGGAGGAGGTGGAGGGGGCTGGGTCCGTCGTAGAAATCTTGCAGAGACAGTTGCAAAGACAACTGTGTAAACTAACACGTTCCAATATGTGAACTGCATGACTGAAAAAATATAACCAAATTGACATGAAATTTGAAAAAGTCATGAGAACATTGCCCCCCGAACATCGGTTCAGCACATGTTACATATTGATAGATTTAGCACTTTAGGCTACCATTCCCTCGTAGTTTTTGCGACGTTTTCTTGAATTTTTATGTACTTGTTGACAATAAATTGAGATATAATTATTAATGACATTATTATGCGTAAAAAATCGTTTGAAGACCAGATGTGCAAGAAATATCTTACGGAGGGTAAAACATAAGATTAAAAAAACAAGATTTACAACAGAAATTATTGTATTTCATTTTCTATTCTTTGAAGTAACATATGTCCTTCAGAGGTGTTCAACGAAACAAATTAAATATGTATATATAATTTATTCTTCGATATCTTCTACTACAAACATACATGTACATTGTTGTAAAAGAAAAATCTTTGTAAATGAATCATATTAAAAGTTTGACAATGATAAGAAAAATTTATGTTGATTATCAACAAATTACAATTTTATTTATATCGAGTAAATTAACCCTAAAAATTAGGAAGACAAGTAAATCTCGAAGTTAATGGACTTGATAACAATCAGTTGTACAGGACCAGTGAATGAAGAGTACAATTGTTTAAAAAATATTATTTCTGATTTGTGATAAATAATGTATGTAATTCATAGGAAAAATTACATATACTTTTCACACACTTATTTTAATAAGAGAGTTAACAATTTTCGTAAATATAATTATGAAATATACTTAAAAAAAAACAAACAATCATATAGTTTTGTATCTAGAAAGCAAAATATAGAAACTTACCTAAAATAAATAAAACAAAATACAAATATAAACGACACTGATTAAAAATCTCCAAATATTATAATTGGAAAATATCGACACTCTCTTTATATAGAGCTGTTAAAATGATGGATGTTCTGTTGCTTTCTATCGCTTGTCGGACGTATATAACATGTATGGTGTTACACTAGGGAAACAGTCACTTTAAGCAAAATATTTCGGCATGATCATATAAACTATATTCAAAAAATTATAATATATAGATATTTAAAAAAAAAATAACTGATTGCATATCTACTAAAGATTTCCAAATTGCTTGTTTTAATTCCTTTTAAATATTTCTCAAATTCCTAAATTACTCAAATTCTAAAATTTCGTGATATGTATGTGAACAACCACCATCATCTTAATATTGGGTTTTTAATTTTTTTTTTGTCTGGACAACTGGTAAGCAGGCACATGCCTGTAATATTTTGGTAATTGTGAAAAATAGAATATAAATTTTTAAGAGTTTTATTTTGAAAAAAAAACGCAGATAGAAAGATGTTAAAAGTATCAATACTGAGAGTGCAGTATATTGGTTAAGGCATTAACTGGCTCCCATTTCAATAACACTTACACCTGAAACAGAATACAAAGATTTTTTTAAACAAATATAAATATACGGTTCTTTAAACAACTGATTTGCCTGGCTAAAGTAATCTTTAGGTAGTCTTTTACATGTATCTACGTACATAACATTTTTCGTTATTTCCCTTGTTGGTCTAATATTATTCCCAGGACTTTGCTCCAAAGGAGTAGGTACTTATTTTAGTATTTGGAAATGTCCAAACTAAAAATGCATTGAGTTTATATCACAAACTAGATGTAGAATTTTATCCAATTAATAATATATCCCAATACGCTTCCATACTTATTTTTGAATGAATATGACTAACAGGCGACAATGGTAATCCGTCACTTTATCTTTACTAATCAAGTTTGACTTCCTCTTAAAAGATTTGGCATCAAAAGGCTATTGATACTTCTAAAGGAGACTGTGTGTTTTAAGTGTCTGTTATTCCATAACAACGTACTGATTATTGTTATGGAAGGTATTGCACTGTATTGGTATTTTTTTCTGCGACGTTTTTCGTCACCTTTTTCTCCTAAGAGATTATTGTCCAATGTATACATGTATTTCCTTATTGCCTACTAAATAAAAGGAAATATCACTATTCTTCTCCCTGTGGAAAAGAATTTGAAGTCATGCATCGTTTTGTCAGACTATTTCGACATGGTCTGGCAATTCTGAAATATATAGAAAGAATAATTGCATTTGGGTTTGAAAAACGTCAAGTATTTGCTATTAAAGTTTGCTTACGAAAAGGTAAAGTTGACGAACAATGATCACTCTCATAAAATCAACTTCAAAGTACTTGTTTATTGCATTGAAATGCTTTTTTAAAGTAATTTTGCAGATGACCAACCACAAATTGAAAATTTTCGACATCCACTTCAATTGAAGAAGCAGTTGTCTATGGTTTCAAAAAGTCAGGTTTTTAATTTATCGTGTGAAATAGTTATATAAAGTGTGGAAATGTCATATGTACTGATTTTGAAGAAAAAAATTATTTCAATTTTTTCTATATTCTTGAGAGCTTTTGAGAAACCCTATTTGATTTCCACCACTTGTTGAATATGTTATATCCATACTTCATATCTCCATATGTCATTGTAGCACATACGTCATAAGTTTCTCCTACATAGCAGTTAATATTTTGTAAAGAGTAAAGATACATATATATGGGCTTGCTAAAACGTTCTCTTGACCTGTTAATGTCTCTTTGTTTGTAAGGATTTCATGAAGTTTTTAAATCCAGTAAAGTTGTCTGAAATGTTTAAGAACTTAAAAATGAAACGTGATTTTGAGAAATTTTATCATTTGAAAAAGAAACTGTGAGTATAGTTTGGATTACCAGAAAATACAGTGAAATAATAAACCTTACAAGGGCAATTTTGTTTTTATCAGCTGGAATGACAACATATTGTTCATATAGTTCTTTTGAAAACGGAAGGATAGATGGTGCGCATATTGCCTTTCATTTTCAAATACGATATTTAAATACACTACTAATTAAACTCTATCAATTCTGACAAAGTATTGAAGTCTTCCCCTTTATATTGAGTTCATTGTGTGACATACTCCTTGACGGAAATCTTAATAGAAATAAAGTTCTATAGTGATTTTAAAGATTGGGGCTCGTTAAATCTTGGACCGTTTTTATGGCCGTCATGCAGGTAGGTCATAAAAATTTACCAAATGCAAGATGATATCACAGTTCTTCCCCTTGTGGCAAAGACTTTGAAGTAAAACATCGTCTTGAGGCCAAACTATACAACCCTAACCAAAAAAAAAAAAAAACCCACTATAGTAACCTATAGTTAATTATAATTTACTAAAGTTAACTATAATATTGCAGTTGAATGCAGTACAGTTTATTTTAGATTTTATTTTTAAGGATTCTTTTTGAAACCTCGTTTTTTTTCAATGACAGCTACTGGCTAAATATTTCTAAAATAAATATGGTTTGTTTTTCATTTTACTGGGTCTTTTTTATATTAGTAAATCACATTATATTGATAGCATTAAGTGCAACAAACAAGATGTATATAATTATCATCTTATAAGTTATATACAACGATATAAAGTGATTTAGATTGATAACCATTATTGTAAATCAAAGTTTTCACAGTTATCACTATAGTTGACTAAAGACTTCATCGTGTCAAAGTTATCACAATAGTTAACTACAGTATTTTTTGTAAGGGAAGGCGTAGCAATTCAAGAGGATATAATAAGAATAATTATATTTGAATTGATTATGATCAAGTACATGCAGATACATTGTAATCGCACTAAATTCTAACGCTTGGCTAATTAAGGGACCATTACATTATTTCAACAAAATTGTATCTCCATTTCGAGGGGATGTCTAAGATAGGGACTTTAGAATTTATATTTATTTAAAAATTGTAGCCTACTCAGAAAGTCTTGCTGATTTTTAATTTTTATGTAGAGAGATTCAAAAGAGAAGAAACCAGAAATAATTCTAAAGAGACAATTAAATTATCCTTTTAAAAATACTTGATAAATTTAGAGGTTTTATTTGCGTTTAGCCATGCGGATGTATACGATATTCAGACTCACAAGAAACCTTACGTCAACACTTCAAGCATACTTTAATCTTGGTAGTTTTCCATGGTTTGAAAATTTTAACGAAGGCAAGTCAAACAAGATTTAAAGAAAACTTCGATATGTTTTGTATTTGTTTTATCAAACTCGTTGAAATTGTTTATATTCTTCGAAAAGCCTTCCGAATAAATACATAATTTCAACTCGTTTAATAAAGAATTAACCTCTCCTTATACGAAATATAGAAGCTTTTGAGTGGACCAAAACTCTTTAGAAAAATAATTGATCACACTTGAATTAACGTTTTGATGATGTCATATATTTCTCATCAAGTGTTTTTTGGAGAAAGACCAGAATATATTTTTACTTAGGTAAGTATAATTGTTTATCCTCTCTTTGAAATTAACACATCAATTCATATTTATTAAAATCAAGCATTCTGAGAGTATTGCATTAGCAATACTAGTCCCCTACCGGCAAGTGTAATCTGGTTCCCGTTAAGAATTGAAAATGCCATAATTCCGTCAAAAATAAACGAAGCGGGACGAAATGAATGCAAATTTGATCTATAACTAATCAAGGTAAAGCCACATACCAAAAATCAGCTCAATATCTGAAAGCGTTTAGAAGAAAATTGCGGAAAACCCATAAAAATTGAAAAGGTCGTAATTCCGTCAAAAATCAATGAAGCGGAACGAAATGCAAACTTGATCTGTAACTCATCAAGATACACTCACATACCAAAAATCAGCTCAATATCTGCAAGCGTTTAAGAAAAAAGTGCGGAAAACCAAGTGGGACAGACTGACAGACAGACAGAGGGACAGACAGACGGACAGACAGAGAGACAAACAGACTCAGAGGAAACCTATAGTCCCCTCCGGTTTCACCGGTAGGGGACTAATAACAGATCTAAAATGTATCACTTTAGCACTTGGTGTAGGTGAATTAGATCGAACAATTTGACTAATTCTTTGGTGGTCCAACACAGCTTGCGACTCTGTTTGATAATTTATGGCATGAACCACAAGGTTTCTTGTCCTGATGTTCATCTCGTCGATCTAGGACTGACAGGATGATTAAATGTGTCTCACTTTATACACAAAAAATATAAAAATAACGATGCAACCAGGTAGATTGATAGAAAATGAATTATGCTTGCAACCGTGCTACATGCACTGAAAATCTATCAATTACATGTATTGAAACGATATGGAAACAATTTTTCATTGCATTTAGCGTAATGTACCAATTTTTTCAGAAATAAAAAAAAAATCGTTTCTTTTTTTTTTCTCCAATGTTCATCTTATTCATCTATTGCAGAAATAAACAAAAGAATAAGTGAAGTGCAATATGAATTTTATTCACATTTAACCAGGTAAATCCATTTACTGATAAAGTTAAAAATGGAAGAAGAAAGTAAAATACATGTATAACATTAATATTAAACTTAAATGCCAAGCAGCAAAAATATTTATCATTCTGAGTGAACTTTATGCATCATGCACATCAAAGACTTTATGGTTATCAAAGTGATATTTTTGTTTAAAATCATTAATATTTAAAAGTGCAGGTGACAAAGTTTTGGTAAAAGAGAACAGAAAATTTTGATCCTGCATTCTCAAAAATGTTTTTGCTTAACCTATTTTTTTTTCTCTGAGGCATTAAGTTCCATACATACCATGGTTATTTTTTTTATGTTTTGTAACTGTTATACAAATGTACGAACAGCTATATAATTAATATATTACAGTATCTTGCCCATAAAAATGTCATCATTTTGACAAATCTGTTAAATATAGATTAAACAATGAATGCCAACACTTGTAATAACATCAATTCATTGACACGTTGCAATGTGATGTATAACTTCTGGGATTTTACCTTTTTTCCTTTTCTCATTTGTAATAAAAGACAGGTATTGAT